AGGGCGTGCTGCCAGCGCTCCCCTTGCATTCGCCCAGGCCCAGATTCGCCAGTCCCCGGGACTCCAGGCACAGACTCCCCTGGCGCAGCACACTGAGAACTGGCTCTCTCTCCGGGACCCTGATGGGGACACTGCACTTCAGCCACAAACTAGCAGAAGTGGACAGAATTTTCTCTCACCCTTATATGAAGCCTAGTTAAGCAAGTTTTTTTTTCTCTAGAATTCTGTTGTCTCCCCCTAGAGTCACTCCTTGAAAGAAGAAAGATCTCAGGAGCATAATGTTTTAAAAATCACCTTGAGATCATGTCACCTGCTACAATATTACAATGTGGTATCGGTCAAAGAACATTCCAGAAGTCTTTCATGTGCTGTAGGACTTTCTAGTGAGATTTCGGATACCCAGTTGGAATATGACTCTCCTATCTCCCATGCGGTGCAAACCAGTGATGTAAAGATACTATTAAGCATAAGCAACACAAGGAGAAACTCATATTAAGAATGGTACAAAAATATTTAATGTTGTTCATTGCAGACAGACAGACTGCTGCAATAGAGGAATTACGCCTTATCACAGATTCAGCTCCTGTAGCATTACAGAAACCTATGACGAGACTGAAACTAGCTTGGGATATATAGAACAGCAGTTATTCGAAACACTGCAATGAAATATTTATATCCTGTCAGACTAGAATGATTTACTTAGACATGCTGTTGGCGAACAACACAACAGAATGATCAAAAAAACCACAACTGTGATAGGAAACCATGAGAAAAAATACACAAATTAATATAGAAATAGTGTCCACAACGGGCATTTTATTTACTAAGGAGCAGCGGGAAAAAAAGTTAAATACCTTATCTGATCCCAATAAAAACCTGAAACTCTATTCATAAAGCAATTCTGCCATGTAACACGTACACTCCTTCATATCTTGAAAAGAAAACAGAGCTTGGAAACGTCTACATAAATCTAAACAGTAAAAATAAATTTTACTCTGTAAACCTACTGAGGCTCAACTGAGACGGCACAAGGCTCAGACAGAAGACAGTCACTCAACAAGAGACTGTTAAACATGTTCAGTGACTTTGGATTAAATGGACATGGTTTTATAATGGTGCATCTCTGGGCATTGCTGCTTTTTCTTTCCCAAACCATTTTCCTCATAGACACTGTAGGATAATTGATATATAAATGATATATCATCATTCAAACTCTATAACATTGTAGAAAACATTAAGTCTGTCCTCTACCAGTGTACTTAATTACTACTGTATATTTGTTCTGTTTGTGAGTACTGTGTTGTGCTATAATCAGAACCCATGAAACACATTTGACTGTGCTGCTCCACAATTTTAACTGTCAATTGTTCATTTTGAACTGCTGGGTAGAAAAATACAAGATAGGAAAAACTGTGGGAGGTGCCTCTTTCCCGTCTCTGGCCTCGGGCCCGGTGTCAGACTCACTTGAGCTCCGGGTAGACGTTATCCAGGTACCAGCGGAAAGAGTTGCAGTTCAGTCGGCGTCGCAGCTCCAGGCGCTCGGCAATGCTGCACGGGGAAACGAGAGAGGAGGGGAAAGAAGACAGACTGCATTAACATGCCATAATGGCAGAAACACAAAGCCCTCCGATTCCAAGCTCAATCCTTGTGCTGGAGGGGCACGCCATTTTGGGGTTTTGATACCACCTGTGTTCCTGAAGACTTAAATTTTCCAATTATTGACATGCCTTTAAGGGTTCTGCTATCCCAGCTGACTCTCCGTCCTGTAAACTAAGACACTAAACCTCCAGCAAAGCTGAAATACATACAGATGTGTTAATAGGAGTGAAATTGTATTTCTTCTCAAGAATTCAACACTACAGGTCTGAGCCCATGACACTCTGGTGTTGCTTATTTAGTATTGTAATCGGTCTACACTTCAGCTTCTGAGGACTCTTACTTCTCTGTAGACTTGTATGGTAGATCTGTAGGACTGCTTCACTCCCAGAAGTGAATATCAATGTATTGGCTCCAGGCAGGGTCTACGTCATGACACTGATTATTGTAGGGGATTTAGGAACCTCTGATGCCCATAATGAAATATTTCTTTATTGGTACTTTTATCCTGAAGACCACTAGATTGGTACTTCCTGTGCCACATATCACGTTAGTTATCAAATAGGACATTACTTTCTATTCATCCTGTTCATATGCTTTAGAGCCCTTCTATTAGTTATGCAAAATGATAACAGACGTTATTCAGTTTCCATTTTAAGTCTTTTAAAGAAAGAAAAGCCTTAAAATTCAAAATAAAGTGCTGTGTTAAAAGACACATTCTTGCATTCACAATGGTGTGGCTGAGGGCCAACAGGAAGGAGAGGTAGTCAGATCTCGCTGTGAGGAGTCACGGGCTCTCTGGGGTCTGGCCCAGGAGAGGTGGAGGGACACAATATAATGCATGCTGGGTATGTGTTAAACTCTGATAAAAAGGATTGGAGAGGCCAACTGACCTGCCAAAAGATTTCCCTTGAGCTGAAGGCCGGGCTGCGTAATAGTACTGCTTGTACTCATCCATCCAGACTTCAGCTGCACGTTTTGTGTTCCTGCATAGATGACACAGTCAGGGTAACTCAGACGGCCCAACAAAGACTGACACCACTGACACCTAAACCACAAAGATTCATTCCGGGAGCAGCAAATGATGGATGGACATCAAAGCAATCTATTAACCCAGAACTTCACAATAGGGCAAAAAAAAA